AGTCTTTTCGAAAACCCCACTTGTAGCGGGTGCGCAGGATGGGGGGGACAGTGGCGGCCAGGTGGTCATGGATGTTGGCGGCAGTGATGTAGGGAAGTGGTTCAAATAGTTCGGGGGATTGCCAGGTGTTCAAGGCGCCAGTGAAGTATTGGCGAGGGCAAAACAGTCGCAGTTGTTGGAGCTCATGATCGGCATGGTGGAGTAATGCGTGTTTGCCCAAATGTTCTTGGAGTTGACGAAGCAGGCGGGCCGTAAAACGGGGTTGCTGCTTTAGGTGTGTGTTGTGAAGGCGCCATTGGTGCTCAAGGAAAGGCTGTAGGTGTTGTACTAGGGATGGTGGAAGCCCTTGTAGTTTGAGCCATTTGGTGTAGGCCGTCTTGAAAATGAGGAAGTACCGAGCTTTGCTTGGGTAATAGGTGCTGTTCATATTGGCGTTGAGAAAAATGCTGAGGTGTGTAGGGAGTTGGAGTTGGTCAAGTGTAAGGATGTAGTGGCCGTTGATGGTAGGGGTATCGGGATCCTGCAGGAGGGTGCGAAGGTGATCGCATGCACAGGGGAGGTCTGCTGGATCTGGCGGGGAGTGGAGGGTGTCCTCCCATGTGCGATGGTTGTGCAGGTGGGAGCGGAGGGTTTTGTGGGCGGCTTCCCTCAGTCTGTGGGAGGGGAGGTGGAGGGGAATGGTGAAATGCTTGTGCTGCTGGATGGTAGTACGGAGCCATTGTTGGCAGTGCTTGGTAAAGTCGTCATGGGCCAAGAAGGGCACTGTCAATGGGATGTTTGGTTTTGGTGGCGTGAGGTTGCGGTAGATCAAGGCTTTGTTGAGGATGTGAAGAGCTCGGCTGCGGCCAGGTTCTTCCAAGTTTGCGGCCATACGCCGGATTGCATACACCTCGAGGTCCGTGTGGCGGCCGCTTCTTAGCTGTTTTGCTGCCTCAAAAGAGGCTGCGGTGTGTTTGGTAAGGTTGCGAAGAAGTTGGAGGGCGTGATGCTTAGTGGAAGTGTAGAGGTGTGGTTCTCTGAGGGTGTACTGGCGTTGTCGAAGGCGTCGGAAAAGTCGTTTGTGGGTGGCTAATCTGGAGTAGAAGTGGGCTCTGTGTTTCGCGAACTGCCATCCCTGAGCTTTGAGTTTGAGGTGGTGGGAAATGAACGGCCAGTTGAGTGAAGGCATCCAGTTGGCGATGTAGTGGTGCTCTTGGATCCAGGC